ACGGGCTCTTTCCAACAAATCTAGCCAGCGTCCTCAATATATAAGGGATACCGACGTCCTGGCGAATGAGTGCAACCAATTTTTCATCCAGGTCGAACAAGAAGCAGCCAAGAAGTCTACAGAACTGGCCAACCACTGCGGCCTACAGTAAAACACTCCATGCAGCAGGCCACGCTGACTTCACAACAGGCCCAAAGGGACGAGGACGGATGCTTTGCTTTCCAGTTAGCTACGCCTGACGATGTGCGAAAATTTATCGTAGACATGCCTACCAATAAAGCAATAAGTTCCCATTTCGGTGGTTAAGGACTGCCTTGAACACATTCTTCCGACGCTGACTGACCTAATAAACCACTCTTTCTCAAGTTCCGTGTTTCCGCTAGCGTGGAAAAAGGGTGAAGTAGTCCCACACTCAAAAGAGGGTGACCATGAGGTGGCGAGTAACAACCTTCCAGTCTGGCTACTGCCAGTCCTCTCTAAGGTAGCAGAGAGAAATGCCATGTGTCAGTTCAATGATTCCTTGACATTACATAACCGATTGACGACACATCAAAGTGGAAACCGATTTCTGCACTCGACGGAAACGCTGAGCTTATTAGTATCGGACGACATCCTTAGAGCGACGGATAGCAGGCAAATAACTGCAATGGTTCTAATAGACTTCGGTAAAGCTTTCAACAGTCTCTGTCACTCTACCCTGCTCAGTAAACTCCAACTGCTTGGCACCTCAGAAAAGGCACTCCACTGGTTCAAGAGTTACTTGTCAGATAGACGGCAGTGTACTCGAATTGGAACATCATTGTCGGATCCCCTCACCATCACTCATGGGGTACTTCAAGGGTCCATCTAAGGCCCGATGCTGTTTACACTCTATACGAATGACCTTCCTACGGTAACTAAGTTCAGTAACATCGAATCCTATGTGGACGACAGTAAGATCTACCTATCGTATGCGTCTAAAGATATCCGCTCATGTCTATAAAAAGTCACCGAGGATCTTGAAAGTATTTCTGGTTGGTGTTGCGCAAATCACTTGCTTATAAACCCAGATAAAACTAAACTTGTACTCTTAGGAACGCGGTAGCTTGTATCAAAGTTATCTGACGTCGCTGTACCCTTTCTTGGACAACGACTATACCCTGTGTCATCCGCCAAAGACCTGGGTGTTACTCTGGACTCCGGCGCAAAATTCAATAGTCTCATGTCATCATTATCGTCATCTTTCCTATCTAGTTTGTGTAAAATTAGTAGGGTTTGCCATCTGTTCTCCAAAGAAGTTCTGTATATAATGATTAACTCTGTTGTGTTTAGCCAACTATTCTATTGTTCTGCTGTATGGTCTGGTACTTACAAACAGAATATCCATAAACTACAACTTATGCAGAATTTCGCTGCCCGTATACTAACTCACACAAGGAAATACGATCCCATTACACCGGCCTTGAAAGCTCTTGGCTGGCTAACTATAGAGGAGCAACTTCGATTGCGTGATGTGACAACGATGTATAAATGTGTTAACGATTTAGTACCAGCATATAATAGCCGTAAAATAGGGAAGCGATCAACTTCACACGCTTACAACCTCCGCAAGAGTGAAGATCTAAACTTGCCAAAATGCCGGACAGCGGCTGCCCAGCGTGGTTTCTTTTATAGGGCAGCAAAAGCGTGAAATAGCCCCAGTAACAACACTAGAACTGCTCGATCACTAAGATCATTTAAAAAGCATGCAAAGGCAGAATTCGTGAAGAAATAAGATACCGGTATCTCAACATATAACTACCGGAATAGAATATTTCATATTCTTAGTTATTATGAGTGTTATTGTTATTTCTATCTCAAGTACATGTAAGTTGTTATTTTTATATCATTAGTCTTATGTTGTATACACACAGTGCAAATTGATTCTGAAAAACCCCTTGGGGAGAATTAATAATAAAGTATTGTATTATATTGTAAGAGACTAACGTATATCACTTCTTGTAAAGTTTTTCGGCTTTAACGGAACGGGTAAGACTGCACATGGGTCTATGGACGTAAAATCACCAACTCGATAAGAGTTCTACTCAAGCGAACTTGTGTATGAAATAAAAAGTTGGGAAAAAGGACAAAATTTAGTACATTGAACTTTACTTCCTCAGCAAACAAAGTGCAGGACATCGTGACGGTATCCTTAATGGCCAAGTGGAGCATCATCCTTGTTTTCTGTAAGCACTTCAGTCGTACATAATAGTTGTCTAAAGTGTTAGCTATGATAATGTACATTTCAGCTTATTGCCTGATGGGAACAGAAAGGAGCCCTATGGGTAATGTTGGTGCGAAGGAAGGGAGATGATAAGGGTGGCCCTTGCAGACTTTTCTTAGTCCTTACCACTTAGCATTTCTTTATGTCAACCATTATTAGTTTTTGGTGTAAACTAAAAAATTGATTTCCAACAGGTGTCGCTGTTCTGTTGAAGTATTCTCGACTTGCGCAAGGATGGAAAAGAGTCCCTACGTTTTGGAGAACATATGTTCTCTCGGTTCCAAAAGGAAACTACGTGCATCTACACTTTACCATGAGCAACCCATCAAACCTTCGACTACCATGNGCCTTACTAGATGACGCTAGTGACACAACATTTATTACAACCAACGTTAAAGAGAAACTTGGAATCCCCGGTGTTAGTTCGAAGCTCATTCTCAGCACCATGCTTGGAAGGGAAGAAGTCTCCGTTTCCCGAGTTGATGGATTAATAGTCGAGAGGATTGACCAACGTGTTCAAGTGGAACTACCTAAGACCTACTCTAGGGATCGGATACCTTCAAGAAGGGACCAAATTCCCAGGCCAGAGGTTGCAGCAGCATGGGCGCATCTGAAAAAAATCGAGGATAAGATAATGCCTTATCAAGAGGAAGTAGAGGACGGATTGCTGATTGGCTGCAATTGCCCAAAGGCCATTAAACCTAAAGAAGTCATCGTTGGTAGAGGAGAAGACCCCTATACAGTTCGCACTTTGTTAGGTTGGGGAATAATTGGCCCGGTCAGCTTGTTAGAGTGTGGAGAAAGCGATCGTGAAGAGCAAGTAGCCTCATCTTGCAACCGGATTATAGCATGTGAAGTTGACACCGGCCACCACAACATCAGTCGTAGCTTTGTGTTGAGTTCTCAAACCAAGGAAGAGATAACTCCCTTCTCAGTTAAGCGTATGTTCGAACAAGATTTCTCCGATCGATGTAGCAACGACCCAGGACTTTCCAAAGAGGACAGGAGATTCCTCACTATTGCAAGGGAAGGAATTACCCAGTTGGAAAACGGTCATTACAAGCTGCCTCTCCCCCTCAGAGATCCGAACCTAAGGCTACCGAACAATCGAGACTTAGCTCTACGTCGATTGTCACAGCTGAAGAGAAGATTCCTCGCTGATGAAAGATACCGTGAAGACTATGTGACGTTCATGGAGGGTGTCATAGGAAAAGGTTATGCCGAAAGGGCAAGAAAGGTCTTCCTTACCAACAAAGACGCGAAAACATCTGAAGGGAACCAAAGTGCCGCGTCGTCGCCCCATTCAAGAGAAACAAATATTTGGTATATTCCTCACCATGGGGTATACCATCCAAAGAAGCCGAATAAAATACGCGTGGTGTTCGACTGTGCTGCAGAGTTCAGTGGAAAGTCACTGAATAAAAACCTTCTGCAAGGTCCGGATTTAACAAACACCCTTACTGGCGTCCTCAACAGATTTCGTCAAGAACCCGTAGGTATCATGTGCGATATAGAGTCTATGTTTTACCAAGTCCACGTGACAGAAGAGTTTAGAGACTTGTTGCGCTTCTTCTGGTGGGAAGGTGGTAACTTATCCAAGAGTCCAGTAGAGTACAGAATGACGGTGCACCTATTTGGAGCTACCTCATCTCCAGGTTGCGCCAACTTTGCCCTTAAGAGAGCAGCGCAGGACGGTGAGGACGAGTTTGGGTCTGCGGCTGCAGACTTTCTACGAAAGGATATCTACGTTGATGACGGTTTAAAATCCTGTTCCAGAGTTGAGGAAGCAACCATGCTGATATCATCTGTGAAAAAGATGGGCAAGAAGGCAGGGTTTAATCTGCACAAGTTTGTTTCGAATAAGAAAGAAGTTTTGAGAAGCAGTCCAATTTCTAATCGAGCTGATGACCTCAAGAACATAGACCTCGATCTGGACAAGCTGCCCATGGAGAGAGCACTCGGGGTACATTAGTGTATTCAGTCAGACACGTTTCAGTTTCGTTTGATGCTAAAGGATCGCCCTTGTACAAGGAGAGGGATCCTATCAACCATAAGTTCGATTTTTGATCCGCTTGGTTTCGCTGCACCAATCCTACTAGAGGGAAAGAGCATCTTGCAAGATCTGTGTCGTAAAGGCGTGGACTGGGATGATCCCATACCCGACGTGATTAGGTCAAGATGGGAGAAATGGCGAGCCGAGCTTCCTATTCTTCAACGTTTCTCGATTCCCAGATGCTTTAAGCCCAAAAACTTTGGCTCGGTCGTGAGGAAAGAGCTACATCACTTCTCGGATGCAAGTACAAAGGGCTACGGTCAATGTAGTTACTTAAGGCTTCAAGATGATTCCGGCAAAATTTACTGTTCTTTCGTGGCTGGAGAGGCACGAGTGACCCCCCTCAAGCCTGTGACAGTTCCGCGCCTAGAGCTGCAGGCCGCTGTGACTTCAGTAAAGGTTAGCCATCAGATACCCCAAGAGTTGAGCCTTAATGATGTCCCAGAGTTCTTCTGGTCTGATAGCAAAGTGGTTTTGGGGTACATCGCTAATGAAAGTCGAAGATTCCACGTCTTTGTAGCCAATCGAGTTCAGCTGATTCAGGATGCGACTTCAGTAGATCAGTGGAAGTATGTGGAGTCAAAATTAAATCCAGCCGATGACGCCTCACGTGGGCTTAGTCCAAACGCTCTTCTAACCTCGAAGTGGTTAAAGGGACCAGCCTTTTTGTGGCAAAGCGAAGATAAGTGGCCGCTTCGCAGAAATGAAGAGGTACTTGATTCCCGTGAAGTATTACCCTCTGATCCTGAGGTGAAGATAGCCATAGTCCTAGCTACAGCGGTAACAAAGAAAGAATTGAAGATAGCCGACCGTTTGGAGAGCTTCTCAGATTGGTTCTGTGCAAAAAGGGCCATCGCCTTCAGTTTACTTTATCTACAGAGGCTACGAGAGCGAGTATCGGTAGAGTGCAAGAGTAACAACAATCCAACAGTCCAGCAAGAATTCATACCTAAAACGTCAATCCAGGGTGAAGATCTCCAGAGAGCTGAAAGTGTGATTGTCAGTTCAGTCCAATCGGTGGCCTTTCCCGGACTCAAGTCATTGAACTCCTCACAAGACTTTCAGCCTCCAGGTGAAAGGTCAGCGGTGCGGGAGAGAGTAAGCCGTCTGAAGAATACCTCTCCTCTTCTTAAGCTGGATCCATTTAAGGACGCAGAAGGAGTTATACGCGTTGGGAGACGCTTGGCAAATTCTTCCCTCCCGTTTGAAATGAAGTTTCCTGTAATTCTGCCCCGGCAAAGCCACGTGACTACCCTCATTATCAGATATTTTCATCAGAAAGTTAGACATCAGGGACGAGGTATGACGTTGAACGAGAAAAGAGCTAATGGTTACTGGATTGTCGGTGGAACGAGTGCAGTAGGAAGCTATATATGGAAGTGCATCGTTTGCAGAAAACTACGTTCTGAAGTTGCGGAGCAGAAGATGGCCGATTTACCAGAGGACCGCTTAGAACCGGCTCCTCCATTTACGAATTGTGCCGTCGACTACTTCGGTCCTTTCATCATCAAGCAAGGCAGGAAAGAAATAAAGAGATACGGAGTTCTCTTTACGTGTCTGGCCTCAAGAGCTGTTCATTTGGAGACCTCTTCCACGCTTGAAACAGACGCCTTTATTAATGCGCTGCGACGGTTCATATGCCGCAGGGGACCCATCCGTCAGCTAAGAAGCGACCAAGGAACGAACTTTGTGGGAGCCAAGCATGAGCTGAAAGCTGCTGTCGCAGAACTCGACCACAAGCGTATTAAGAGGGAACTTCTAAAAGAAAATTGTGATTGGTTCACTTTTACGATGAATGTCCCATCTTCTAGTCATATGGGCGGGGTTTGGGAACGGCAAATCCGCTCTGTGCGAAGTGTTCTTTCCCCACTTCTCCAAGATAACAGCCTCCAGCTCGACGACGAATCGTTAAGAACTCTCATGTGTGAAATGGAGGCTATCATCAACAGCCGGCCATTGACGGTCGATCTCCTTGCCGATCCAAGCGCGCCAAGCCTGTTGACGCCCAATCATCTGCTCACGCTGAAAACAAAGGTAGTTCTTTCACCACCCGGCGTCTTCCCCTCAGCCGATAAGTTCAGCAGAAAACGGTGGAGACGTGTTCAGCATTTGGCTAACGAATTTTGGTCCCGATGGCGCAAGGAATATCTTTTGGGCCTTCAGCAACGGCAGAAATGGACAGGCCCTCGACGTGACATGTGTGTCGATGACATTGTTATCCTCAAGGAAGATAATGTCCCACGCAATCGTTGGCAGCTGGCACGTGTTGCAGCAGTGCACCATGGCTTGGATGGACGCGTACGTACGGTCAGGCTAGCCCTTGCGGATGCCTGTCTTGATGACAGAGGAACAAGAACAAGTGCAGTGAAGTTCCTGGAGCGTCCAATCCAGAAACTGGTCTTGCTGATGCCCAAGGATGATTACAAGAAGGAGCCCCGGGGTGAATCCCAGCCGAGGAGCCTTTAACCTTAGATATTTGAACACCTTGAGATTTAGAACGTTTAGTCTTTATTGATAAGTTTCGTTGCGTAGTGAAACACTTCAGTGTTTCAGGGGAGCCATGTTGATACGCGTCATTTGCGTGACGGCGCTTTAAGTTACAGTTACATGCGTCACTTGCGTGACAGTGCTTTACGTTACAGTTAGGTTCTTTAGCTATTTTTGGATGTGATTGATTTAGTACGTGCGGAGCGTGTGTGTGGAGTAGACATTTTTTGCTGTGGTCTACAAAAAGAGATTATAAAGGCCTACGGTGTCGCGGGACAGATATGTAAGTTCGTTTCATCGTAATTTATCCTTATTGCTTGTGGTTAGCCCAGTTCGTAGTTCGATTAATATATTATTCATTTTATGTGTGATCATTGTGATTTTACGTACCGCGACCTCGTGGCCGCGTGGATATCTGAGTCGATTTCTTTATATTAGTTCTATAGTTTCGCTCGTTTCTGGTTGTTTGCATTTAGCCTGTTTAGTTCTATTTTGTTGCCTCTGAGGGTTTTCATTTGTCGATCGCTAGTGCCTTGTAACGTTTGTTTGTGCAACTGCCTTACGCTAGTCCTTCATTGTTTATTTCAGTTTACGAGATCAATTAATAAATGTGATGTGAATGTCGCTTCGGTCTCTGTAAAGTTCCACCCGTTCTGGTATTTTTCTCCGGTCGCGATTTTCACGGCAATACATTCGGCCTTGATGTTCGCCTGCCGTTACAAACATATTCAAT